GGCCGAACAGAAGGGCTTCACCGACGACGAGGGCCTGGTGGATTCGCTGTTGAAGCGAGTGGACGACAACGACGACTCGTTCGAATCGGACGAGGAAGAGGACGAGAATGCGCCGATGCGCTCGAAAATATCCGTGGTGAATTTCGTCAATCCGTCGTTGATTTTCATCAAGTTCGCGATGAACGAGGGTAAGGAGTTCGAGCTGCACAAGGAGCTGCAGGTGCACTATTCCAAGGAGCGGAAGACGAAGGAGACGTGGGAGGTGGGGGAGGATTGTGTGGTGTTGCACCATCTCAGCTATGCCAGGGGCAAGATACTGTCGCAGGAGGAGAACAGTAGGTACAAGGTGAACGTGTACGATAAGCCGGCGGAGGTGTCTTTTCCGTTGACGAAGATTTTCGAGTACTCCAAGTACTTCAACAGGTTCGTCAGCGTCGTGTTCAAGGCCCATTTGGCCGATATCAGACCGGCCGGCGGCGATAAATGGAGTTTGTCTTCGATCGAGGCGTTGGAAAGGGTTTTCGAAAAGTACAAAGACATATACGGCACCAAAGTATCCGGCTCGAAGGACCATTTATTTATGTTGCGTAACGAACTATCGAATTACGAGGGAAGGTTGGAGATTAGTAGACTCACCAGAGTGGACTGTATCGTGATGTGGACTTGGATGTTCTCGTCCGATGTAGATGCGGTAGGCCTACCTTTCAGCTCCCATTTCCTCGAATGTCTATTTTAATGATTCTAGCACTGGACATCCATTGATACACGATTTGTAGCACTAGCGAAAAAATGTTTAACAAAAGGAACTAGTATTTTGCAAGAACCACACAAAGATGCCGGTCACTCGTCTTTCGATGACTATATCTCTTCGTCCATGTGTCTATCCCACCAACCTTCTCAGACACGCGCTTTTTCATACAATCTCTATATACGCGCATTATTGGTACCACACCATAGGCAACCCATAAAGCACAGATAAACAATACATTTATATATATCGATACAGGAATTTATTCCAAATGCTGAAATATTGATTAAACTTAATGAATTTATTATTCTTATTAATTATAGTAGAAAATTAATATTAAACACAAACAATGGGGACGAAACAGAAGTGATCATCAAAGCCATTCAACAGGTGACAAATACTGGCCTTATTGTCAAGGCAGTAGTGTGTGACCAGGGAACAAACAACCAGGCAGCTATTAGGAATTTACATGTCTCCATTGAGAAACCATATTTTGAAATCGAAGGCCGAAGAATATATTGTATTTTTGATCCGCTCCATTTGTTCAAGAACTTTAGAAATAATTTATTGCACCATGACTTTATCTGGATGAATAGGAGAGTATCGTTTGATGATGTGAGGAAGACATATAATATTGACACATGTAGTACAACAAGGACTTTACTCAAGATCACTCCTGCCCACATGAATCCATCAGCATTCGAAAAAATGAATTGTCGGTTGGCACTCCAAATTTTCAGCAATTCTATTGCCGCAGCTATTAGAACTTGTCATGAAACCAAACAATTAGAAAATGATACTGCTCTTGCTACAGCAGATTTCTTCCAGATGATGAATAATTTGTTCGATTGTTTGAACAGTAAGCAGTTGTATTCCAAGAATCCATATAGTTGCGCAATGTCCGATGAACGCCCTATATATAGTCGAAAATACGATCATTTCTGCAAGAGATACATTGATAGAAATTAAGAAAGTTACTACAACTGGATATTCTAGACCTGACTGTCTTGATGGAATATTGATCACTTTGTCTTCAATATTGGGAATTTATAATGAACAAAAAGAATTAGGATTCACTTATTTATTAACAACAGATTAAATCAAGATGTTATTGAAAATACTTTTTCAAGTGTAAGGCAAAGAGGTGGATTCAATCCAAACCCAACGGTTAGAACTTTCAGGTGTACCTTTCGTATCATAGCAAAAATGAACTTAATGAAGTCATCAGATTTAAGTAATTGTGAAGAAGATGATGATATTAATTTGATGACAGTTCCATCTACTAGTCATGTGAATGAAAATGTCGAGGAAAATCTTGACAATCCTCCTACAGAGAATTTACTCGAAAATCAAGTGATTCCATCATCCTCGTCTTCTTCAAATGAGGAAAATAAACTCGAAAATAAATATTCACCTGTAACCCTGGAAGATTGTTCGAATGCTTATTTTGCAGGATATACTTGGCAAAAAATGTATCGATAAATTCAAATGTAATCCTTGTGCAAATAATTTGATAGTTAACGATTTCGACAATATAATGAATGACGAAAAACAATTATTGATAATCAATAAAAATTATAGTAAGAACATACAACATCTAAAATACCCCACTGACGAATTCAAGACTATGGTTGATGTAGCTTCAACTTCTTTTTCAAAAACATTCCTCAAGAAACCATATATGAATAGAACAAAATTATTCATCAAGAATAAAATTTTCAGAAAGCTGTCGAAAAAGTGTCCCATCTTTCATAACGAAGTTGAATGCAGAGAACATATGGAATTCATAGTTGATCAGTTAACGTTATGTAAACTTCATAAAGAGTGTAAAAATGAATCCTAGCTAGATCGATTTATCGCCCTCGAAACCCTCTGTATACGGAATTTCATGAAAATCGTTGGAGTCGTAAATGGTTTGGCGTGCTATGATCTTGTTACACCCGGTATATACATTTTCTGAAAATGAATCCTAGCTAGATCGATTCATCGCCCTCGAAACCCCATGTATACGAAATTCATAAAAATTTCATAAAAATTGTTGGAACGGTTTCCGAGATTCACATTATACAAGTATTGTTCGTTTAAAGATATAATATTTTAATCATAGGTTTCCTGCCCTTATGTGTGTGCCGCTACTGCCGCTCGTGTGCAATTTTCGTGTGTCGATGCAGCACGCCCCTGTCTACCATTCATCAATGGAGTTGAAAATGTTTTCATTGGCTATCCTAATTCATTCATGTTCACTAGCTGTCTCCTAATGGTTATAGGAAACTGTGATTTTTCCTCAAAGACGCGTAGTGTGTCTACTAATATGCAGATGGCGACAAATTCGCACGTGCAGAAATCGGTCCATATACATTGCCAACATTGCCTATCTATTGTTTGTTCAATCTATGCTGGTAGTAATAACGAGTTGAACTATGCTCGTATAGGTGGAACCACTTTCGAAAATATAGAAAGTAACTCAAAAAAAACTTAAAAATTATATTTGGATATCTATTTAGGTATCTAGGAAACAGAGTAATGTGTTGAGTTGATGTAGGGTTATCCCTTCATATATTATTTCATAAACAAAATCCAATGAACTCGTTGTTTATATTTAGTTCATTGACAAAATCTCGGTCTTACTCTATATATGAAGCATAGCTGTCCTCAAAGCGGGACCAACTTAAGCTTTGTTTTCATGACAACGTTTTGCGTCGTGCGTCTTGCGTTGCCTCGTTCTGATTGGCTATTTCAAATGACGCAAATTCCATGAAATTTGTTATAATTTTCATTCATGCGTCCGCCTCCAGATTTTGACAGGTTGAATTTGAAACCATCTCGAATCAAATATTCGAAATTTATTATAGGTTTCCAATAATTATTGCCAGAAATGGTTGTAATTTGACAACTGCAGTGTTAAAATATTCATTTTCCATAAATATATACGAAATGGATGAACAAAATTGGCGAAGAGAAAAATACTAATTTTTTTGTATTTGAGAAGAAAAAACGTACCTACCGAAAAAAAAACAATTTTTGGTGAGACCTATATTCCAAAATAGAAAAAGATTAGGAGCATTTCAAACCTTGATTAGAGAGCTTGCTGACCAGGACTCTGAATGCTTTTTCAATTTCTTCAGGTACAATGGTATTCTATAGTAGTCACTTACTCTTCCATATTTCAATAAACCATTAAAAACCCAAGTAAGTACACTGTGTGAATAGTCTGAATTTTATTAAATTCAAATTTTCTTGAATCTGTGCTCTTCCTGTTTTGGGTGATTGGGAACACCTAAAACATAACCTACAAGAGTAGAGGTTCTCTATCCCACATTTCTCGCGTTCGACGCAAAGAAGTTAAATATTTTTAACTTCATTTCAACTAAATAATGCGTCAGTCAAAATAGCCAATCAGAACGAGGCAACGCAAGACGCACGACGCAAAACGTTGTCATGAAAACAAAGCTTTTGACGAAATCGACCAATAGGCGTTGATGCCGACGTAGAGAAAAAATAATACCAAACTTGTTGAACCAATATGGCTACGAATTTCAAATTTTTGAATTGGTTTTAGCGCGTATGTGATTGATTGTGATTGAAATTCGAATATTTGCGTTTTTAGTTGTAAAATCCTTAGGTGTTTGTGTTTTCGTTAATTTTTCATGGATTGAACTTTTTTAATGCAGTATTTGCGGAGAAAAGAATGGACAGGAATCCTCTTTTCATAAGTAAGTATGAATTTTCGAATTTTCTTGTTTATATATTGACCTGCACAAAGGTACACACTTATTTAGAATATATTTCAGATTCCAAAGCACCCTGAATGAAGGAATTTATGGCTTCATTCATTGGGGGATAACTTATTCCCCCAATCTCATGATATGTAGTCAGCACTTTATACAAAAGAAATCGAAGTTGACGGTATTATACTGTGGTATTATCAACGATTGATGATTTTTAATATTTTATTATGATCAAATAATTATACGAACCTAACCTAACTTATAATCTGATGCTCACGTCAACAATTTATATCCTTCACTTTCCGTTCTTATAGATTCAAAAGGTACCTCTCATTTTGGTCCCATTTTTGTTGAGATATCGTATAGGCGATGCGTCATATATAGAAATAGTACATATATGGTTAAAACACAAGTTCTATACTGTGGTTAAAACCATATTGAGTTCATTGTTAAAACCTCTTTTGACAGCGAGGTCCCTCGAAAAAACATGCCTGTTGCAACACTGCAGCACTGATTGTGTTGTCTTCTTGTCTTTTGTCTTTGTCAGTTATGATATTATGAATGAATCATCATATTATTCTTGAAATATAAGAAGCTGCAAAACTTTACCAAAAATTAATGATGAACGAATATTGCGTATAATCTATCGAATCAATCTATACTGAGACAGTTACATAAATTCTCAAAAATTTCATTCAAAATTCAATCAAGTTTCATTAGTGAAGTGAGTACACCACACCATCGACAAGATTCGAGCGAGACGACCGCACCTATCATTGTGCTGCTGTGCTACGATTTCGTGTTTAATCGTTATGACAATTCGTATTTATATATTTTGGTAAGTTTTGATCTAATCTAATCTTCTAAATATAGTTTATCAGCTCTTGGTCCTGATAAGAAATTAATAGGTACCTAACTATATTTACTCGAGAATTTACTACTCTGCTGTCACCTAGTTTATCTTTGGAGTCATTTGTACTCATATTTTGTCTCGCATTTAATATTGATGTCAACAGAGCTCCAGAATACCTATTTTGTTGCATCAAAGTATTTATGTTATCCTTTTCTTTCCAGCATCGTACTATCCCTGCTTGTTAACAGGAATTTGATTATTTTTTTATCATCCTTATCATTTTCTAGTGAAAATTGAAAAATGATTCGCAATTTGAAAATATGCCTGTTCAAATCAGTAATCATCATTTGATTATCATAAGTGTGTTTAATATTTTAAGGTTATATTTATTTGGTTCATGGTTTATGTTAATATTTCTCAAATGAAGAATGAAGTCATGTTTATTTCTGTAGTTATTATGAATGATTCTATATGAACTGCCTTCTAGTAGCTGACTCAAGAGGCGACTGATTTTATTTATTAATTCAGATATAAAATTTTTTATTCATTTATTCTAGGTATTTATTTATTTATTTATTATAAAATTTTTGTAATACTTTAACACCTCATTATTTTTTAATTGTGTCAGGTATTTCCTGACTTCAATTCTGGATTTCCGACTTGAAGCTGTTTGATGAGGCTTATTACTTCTTCAGAAAAAACTAGGATCTTTAGATCCTGACTCTAATTGAGTCGGCATTGCTAATTGCTATATGGTGGACATGGGCAAGGATAGTAGTTTATAATTCTTGGGACATGGGCACCCTTTTTGTGTAGAAAGACAAATGAAAGAATTCAGCAGGGCCCATGGACAAGGGCAAAAACAATATTTGATACTTATATCATTCTTTGATGAAAAAATGAAAATAAAGTAACAATCTGGAACAAACAACATCTACCTACTAATGTCTAGTTAATCCCACAACACAAATATCTGATGAGAAACTTCAGATTGTGTTTGGTTCATGAGAAGTTCAATAGGAAGGAGTTTTCTAAATTAGTATCCATAATCCTCATAATCCTTGATCTATTTATTGATATTGTGAAATTTATTTTTGAAAAAAAAAAAATGCCCACAGCAATAAGTACCTACTGCTGAATCAATTGCATTCGGATATTTATCTTCAGCAACACATCTCATGTACAGATGACAGATTTCTGCATTTCAGCTTATGGCTCTGCATTTCAGCTTAATGGCTCTGGGGATTTGAATTGTAGTTGATCACAATTAATACTTGTAATGTAATGACAGAAAGTTCTTATCGAGGTCAATAAGCGAAAAATGTTCAGAAAGTTTGAACATGTTATAGAAAAAAGCTGATATTTGTATTAACCCTAAAATTGAATGTGAACAGTCCCTGCTTTAATATTCATCTTTCCATTGTAAGTTATAAGCTGTCATCTGTACCCACCATAACCTCACAAAATTGACCTATCTGAAATCTGAACATAATCTTCTGGACTCTGGACTATGGTTGGGCAAACATATTGATATATTGATATACCGGGTGGCTACGGAAGTATTGCCTACGGAATATCTCAGTTATTGTATGAAGTAGGTTTGTGAAATTTGGAGCGTCGATATAATGACATCAGAGCTAGAATTTGAGCATATTGACATGTCGAAGTTAACTTCCGGTCTGACCGGAAGTAACATAAACTTTCTTATTTTAAATAGAAACCCTATTTTTTTTTCTTTTCGCTTCATTCAGCATTCAATTCCCTTTCTAATGACATATCACAAGTTGGTATCTAACCAGAAACTAGATCAGAAAAAAATTATTATTTAAATTCACCGAGTAGGCCGTGGAAGCAAAATGAAAGCCAAAAATTGAAAAGTTGGCTATGGAAACCATACGTCACTTGATAACAGTTGCTACTACTGTGATATTTTATTTTCATTCGTCGGCGTTATAAAAAGCCGCCAAAAAAAATATTGGAAAAATTGGGAAAAAAACAATACTCTGTAGGTCCATAACTTAAATAGGAACATACAACTTTTTCTTGCCTGTACAATTCAGCATAACCATTCCTTTCTAATGATATAATAGAAAGTCATTTTTTGGCTTTCATTTTGCTTCCATGGCCTACTCGGTGAATTTCAATAATAATTTTTTTCTGATCTAGTTTCTGGTTAGATACCAACTTGTGATATGTCATTAGAAAGGGAATTGAATGCTGAATAAAGCGAAAAGGAAAAAAAATAGGGTTTCTATTTAAAATAAGAAAGTTGATGTTACTTCCGGTCAGACCGGAAGTTAACCTCGACATGTGAATATGCTCAAATTCTAGCTCTTATGTCATTATATCGACGCTCCAAATTTCACAAGCCTACTTCATACAATAACTGAGATATTCCGTAGGCAATACTTCCGTAGCCACCCGGTATATCGAATAAAGATATCGATATATATCGTTATATTATCGGTACATATCGATATAGCGATACATACAGGGGCGGCGAGTGCATGGGGGCATCGGGGCCAATGCACCCATGTAGGCAGTGGGTATGGGTGCAATGCACCCATTGGCCGAAACAGACGTATAAAAAACAAATTAGATACGGGCGAAATGAGCACTTGTAAATATTGCACATTGTTGCTGGACAAGTATAGGTAAACAACCATGCGAACCGTATATTCGATTCATGTGCATCCAGGGTTCGACACTGTGCACTGTGCAGATATTCCGATTTGAATTTTAGACATTATGACATCACAGGTTACAAGTGCCAGTTTGGAAAAAAAGGAGTGGCTAATGAATCCATTGATAATACAGTCAGTAGGAATACCTTTGCAATAAATTAACTGGGGTTACTTGCTGATTTTTTCGAATCCCAAAGTTTCTCTATTCCATTTTTTGAATACTGAATAGATATGAGAATTATTAAATCTTATTTTATTTTTGTAGAGATTGAATTTTCTAATATCGTTTTAAATTTTGAGTTATGTTCACTTTTTTCAATGGTGAAAAAAAAATTCTTCTATTTCTCATCCTTGTTCATATTAATATATCAACCATAAACTCGAAACCCGATTAGTCACAAAATATTATATTTTGGTAGAGGTGTTTCACACTTGATGCAAAATAAATAATGCTTTGATCTATCTTGAAATTTGATGGCATTTGACCTTGAACCATGAAAAAGTTTCGCCTGCGGCGCATAATTTTGTCTTACCCTGACCCCTCAATTTTGGCACCCATTGGACAAAACAAAACTCGCCGCCCCTGGATACATATCGATACATATCGATATATCGCAATAAATCGATACATATCGGTATATACATATCGATACCAAAGCATGCAGTGCACATTTTGATAGGACTTCTAGAAAAAGTTCATTGAATAATACTGCTATTCCCTCGAACTTCCTATAGGCACACATCCTATAGAACTTTAAGCCAAGCTTAAAGTGAAACGTTAGACTTTAAACCGAGCTTCAAACCTTGATTTTGATTTTTGAGATAAATGTTCTAGATGTTGAGCACATCAACAATGAAGTTTCGTTACTTTGTTACCCCACCGGTAATCGATATACCGGGTGACACAGGTTATCGGGCCACCCCTGTAACTTCTGCATTCGTCAACGGATTTTTCTGAAATTCGGTACAGTTATATAAGCAACTATTTCGGATTTGATCACATTACAATCCAATATGGCGGACTTCCGGTTTTTCTGGAAATACCAGAAATTTTGTTTTTTCAAATGGAACACTCTGTATATTTTTACATATTCAAGTTCAACAGGTCAAAACAAGTGCAATCTTGATGTCAAACGTCATTCATTCCACAGCCTACCTAGTTGAAACATTATTTTAACTGCAAGGAAATTCATAAACTAGTTGTTGATTTTTGAATGTATACAATTTGTTACTGCACCGAAAAACAAAACTGAAATGTCATTTTGTTCCTTAATGTATGTTCTAGAGAGACGGGTAGGTGGCCCATAAGGGTTCCATTTGAAAAAAAATAATTTTTGATCAAAAAGTGATGTGGCTGAATTGATTCCTGGATAAGTGACACAAAAAATAATTTTTCAGAAAAAATTATGTTCTTCTGTTATGTGTGACTCATTGTGAATAGTCTTGACCACATCTCATTTATCCACGACGTGAAATGAATTAACAATTTTTTTCGAAAAAATGACATTTGAAATAAAGATTGCACTTGTTTCGACCTGTTGAACTTGAATATGTAAAAATATACAGGGTGTTTCATTTGAAAAAACAAAGTTGCTGGCATTTCCAGAAATACCGGAAATCCGCCATATTGGATTGTAATGTGATCAAAATCTGAAATGATTTGATACCGAATTTCAGAAAAATCCGACGACGAAAGCAGAAGTTACAGGGGTGGCCCGATACCCTGTGTCACCCGGTATATGAATGTATTTTATGTTTTATGTATCGATATATCAGGGTGTAAATTTGAAAACTTCCAATGCGAATATCTCGCGAAAGAAAAAAGTTAGAAAAACGCCATTTGGCAAAAATGCTAAAGAGTTGAGGGGAACTAGAACCACCATATTTCGGTCAAGGGATGAGTCACCCCGTCGGCGCGACACACCCCAACTTTGAAATGTCAAATGGCACTACCTCTTTTGTGATGCCTCAAATGAACAGTCTCAGTCAGTAGTATTCACCTGTACAAGACTTTTTCTCCTTCCACTACAGGGTGTACGAAAAATATAAAGTCGAATAAAATAAAATGAATTGTGTTAAAATAATAATTTATTTGATCAGATGTTCAAAATGGATTTCATTCTGTTGTAAGCAATAGTATAATCGATGTTCAAATGCCATTCTGACATTTTGGAACACATCTCTTGGAATATATCGGCATTCTGCATTTTACTTTATTCGACTTTATGTTTTCCGTTCACCCTGTAGTGGGTGGAAAAAAAGTCTTGTACAGGTGAATACTACTGACTGAAACCGTTCATT